CTTATTTTTGCTGGATGCATATACATACTAAACTCAGCCTGGGAGAACTGTCTGGAGGGTTGTCGTTGTTAAGTGCAATCAATTCGATTCTGACACATAGTGACCCTGTATAGGGTTTCCAAGGAGCACCTGGTGAGCTTGAACCAACAACCTTGCAGTTCAAATGAGTTTGCAGTCTGACGCATTAGCCCACAGTGCCACACCAGGTCTGGAGGGTTGAGGTGGGTGAAATGACTCTCTCTATTTACTTTTCCTCTGCTAGCTATATTCCCACAATTTTACTAAAGAGATACATCTAAAGGAAGGGCAGAAAAGGGAATAATGGAACTTTGGAATAGTTCAAGGGATGAACTGCAAAGTCAATGGTTCAAACCCACCAGTTACTCCTCAGAGACCTTATACAAGTCCAAACCAACTCAATGGCATTTAACAACAACAGCAATTATAAAGCAGATTGTTTTAGACTTTCACTAATAAGGGGAAAATAGCTACATGAGAAAATACTGTCTCATGTGCTTTGCTAGTCATGTAAACTCTTAGGATTAAGCTGATTCATGAATGCAGATGTTATAGACAGGAAAACAGAACTCTGAAAAGTTACATAATTTTATTTTATTTTTACAAAATTGCAGCTAAATAATGGCCAGTCACTTAAAAGCACAAAAATTCAGTGACTTTGCAAAATATTTAAAGAACTACTATAAACCAATAAGGAGCTCTGGTAGCGTAGTGGTTACAAATCGGGCTGCAAACCTTAAGGTCAGCGGTTCGAAACTACCAGCTGCTACGCAGGAGAAAGATGAGGCTTTCTACTCCCGTAAGGATTTACACCCTCGGAAACCCTGTACAGGGTCGCTATGGGTCAGAACCGACTTGACGGCACTTAACAACAACAACTATAAACCAATATGAAATTTTTTCTCAAAAGAAAATACTCAAATAGCCAGTAAACATAAAAAGGCACTCTCTTTATTAGTAACCAGGGAAAAGTGCATTTTAACCACAATATAATACTGCTACACACATCCTGGTGTGATACTGTGGGTTAATGCATGGGACTGCAAAGTTGGTTTGAACTGCAAGGTCGGTAGTTCAAGCTCACCAGCTGCTCCTTGGAAACCCTATACATGGTCACTATGGGTCAGAACCAACTCGACAGCACTTAACAGCAACAACAATACACACCCCCTGGGTGGCTACTACTGAAAAGATCAACAAAATCAAATATTGATAAGCATATAGAACAATGGAGCTCTACTATTCTGCTGGTGTGAGTGCAAACTGGCACAATCACTTTGGAAATTTGTTTGGAAGATTCTGTGAAAACTGAATATATGCTTAGTCTATGGTACAAAAATTCTTCTCCTAGGGACAATCATTGTTCATTATTTATAATTCCATGTTTGCAAATTTGCCTACTGGCTTAAATTTATTTTATTATTTTAATAACTCCAAGATTAATACTTAGTGGAGTTCTTATGATTTTTCATGGGCAGACTGTGGCACTGTAGGATAAAGCACTGGATAACAAGGTCTATTTGAATCCCAAGGTCAGCGGTTCAAACCCACCAATTGCTCCTTGGAAACTCTATAGAGGATCCTATGAGTCAGAACCAACTCTTGGCACTTACCAGTAATACTGTAAGGGCAATTACAAATTAGAAGAAAAAGGAATAAAAAGGGAAAAGCTCAATTCTCCTTGTTATAATAAAGGGAAACGCCCCCACCCATCTTCTTCCTGTCGTTTGCTTTGAAAAATCTTTAATTGTGAGTTCTTTCTCTGCTTCCTTGAAATGTATATAAATCTTTTTAAAGGCTAAATAAGCCTCTTGACAATTTTACAACCCAGGATCCTGATGTCATATCTTTGATATGTAATCAATTGAAGAAGGTAGCTATCTTACCTTCTAGTTTCATGAAGGATGTGGTTAAGTGCTCTCCAGTCAGTTCTAACTCATAGCCACTCTGTGTAGGGTTTCCAAAGAGTAGCTGGTGAGTTTGAACCACTGGCATTGTGGTTCAAACTAACTTTACAGTCCAGTGCATTATCCCACAGTACCACACCAGGACAGGAATATAATTTCTGCTAACACTTGTTTGTTGTTGTTGTTAAGTGCCGTCGAGTCGGTTCCGACCCATAGCGACCCTGTACAGGGTTTCCGAGGGTGTAAATCTTTACGGGAGTAGAAAGCCTCATCTTTCTCCCGCGGAGCGGCTGGTAGTTTCGAACCGCTGGCCTTAAGGTTCGCAGCCCGATTCGTAGCCACTACGCTACCAGAGCTCCTCTGGGGTTACTTGTTGGGTGGCTAACTACAAGGTCAGCAGTTCCAATCCACCAGACACTCTGGAGGAGAAAGAGGAGACATTCTGCTTCCATAAAGGTTTATACATAGGGTCATATGAGTTGCAACCAACTCCATGGCAGTGGGTGGATCATAAGAAATTGAAATTTTTTTCCCATTTGAATAAAAGCAATTAGCAAACACAGGTAGTTAGCCCAATTACCAGGTAAATTTAAGATGATAAATGATGCTGAAGTTCTCTTATTTGAGGAATCATTTATCTTGAGAATATATGACAAAGATTGTATCTACTTAGCTATATAGTGGTGGTGGTGGTGGTGATGTGCCGTGAGTCAGTTCCGACTCTTAGTGACCCTGCATAGGGTTTCTGAGGCTGTAAATCTTTATGGGAGCCGAAAGCCTCATAATTCTCCCGTGGAACAGTTGGTAGTTTTGAACTGCTAACCTTGAGGTTAGCAGCCTGACTTGTTACCACCAGAGCTCAGGTTACATTTCTATTCTGTCTTTGCAATCTCTTCAGTAAATTGCATGTGATATTCACCACATTCTGACTTAATGTTTATTCAGTAATAAAATTACTTTCTTTATACTATATTTTATGGGGAGTTTGTCTGGATCATCAGGAGATTTTGATTTTAATTATGCTTCTCCAGCATTGAATTTGAATCAAACAATGTGCACATTCCCAGCTAAGGCTGAACAAGGCAACACTGCCTCCTAGTTTAAGCTCTCATACTGTAAACAAGTATTCTTATTGCTGTCTATTTAGTGGGCTTTTTATGGTGATTTCATTGCTTCAAATGACCAACAAACATTGTGCTGAAGTGGTATCTAATGTTCCTGAGCCTAAGAAGTCTACAGAGAAGGCCTTACAAAGGAACAACAGCACTTATGCCAAAATGATGCTTATCTAATACTTATTTGAGATAGCATCATTTTGGCATGAGTGCTATGGGCCATGAATTCAGTGTTAATAAACTAACAATTAAATGGCGTGTCTTTAAACAGAAATCTACATCAAATAAGGCTATGCATAGATTGGCTGACAAAAAGTTGTTGACCAGGGGCTCACAGAAACCTAACCTTGTATTTCCCTTAGAGAAATGATTCGGTATTCATTTATTAATTGTGTACATGGAGACTTTATAGACCAAAACTACTGCAAATAATGAGAATCAACTCATAAGAATGCATATATGTGTTTACAAAAAACATGTTCTGAAATATTCATGGCAGTATTCACTAGCTGGGAACTACTCAAATGCTAGCTCCAAGCTGGGAACTTCTCAAATGCCTAGTAACAGTAGAATGGATAAATGTACTGAGGTATAGTCACACAGAAGAAAATTACAGAGCAATGAGAGTCCATTAGCTACATCTCCATGCAGCAATGGAGTCCTGGTGTGGCGCTGTGGGTAAATGCGCTGGACTGCAAAGTCACTTTGAACTGCAAGGTCTGCGATTCAAGCTCACCAGCTGCTCTTTGAAAACCCTATACAGGGTTGCCTATGGGTTGGAACTGACTCAATGGCACTTCACAACAACATGCAGCAATATGGATAAATCTCACAGACATAAAGTCAGGTGAAGGAAGTCAGGCACATAATGTTCATCTTTATGACTCTCATTAACCAAGTTCAAAAACAGGCAAAATTCATTTGTGGCATTGGAAGTCAGGATGGTAGTTATTTCCGTAGGATGCAGCGACTGGAAGGTGTCATAAGGGAATTTCTGGAATGCTGGCAATATTTTATTTCTTGGGTGCTTTCTACATGGAGTGTTCACTTAGGAAAGTAAATAAAATAAAGGTCTCCAGACTAGAAATCTCAAATCACAGATGATGTGATGTTTTACATAGAAAATCATAAAGGAGTCCACTAAAAGCTATTACATTTCCACAGAAATGTATTCTCTTCTTCATTATTCAGTCTGAGAAGATAACTCTGGAGAAGGTAGGTTTTGCTATAGTTTAAGTCCTGGTGTGGCTTATCCTGTAGGATAAGCACTCAATTGCCAGGTAGGTTTGAACTGCAAGGTAGGTGGTTCAAACTCAACAGCGGCTCCTTGGTAACCCTATACAGACAGGGTCATTATGGGTCAGAACCAACTGGATGGCACTTAACAGCAACAACAAATGAAAAAAGGAGGTTGCTTAAATTAAAGAGAAGATAGTTGCTGAGTGGCTAAAGAAATATTCATAAGAAATAAGATCGACTAAAAAAATTTATTCAATATTTCTTGATTCAACGAGAAGATTAAACTAGCCAGAAAATGTAAGGGAATGGAGCTTCTAAGAAGAATTTGGTTTCTGTCATTTACTAAGAAAGGATATATGGGGCAGGGCAGCTCTTTCTTCACTTTAGCCTACACTAAAAAAAAAAAAAGCAAGCAAACAAAAAACTCTGTTGTTTTCAAGTAGATCCAGACTCATAGTGACCCTAAGAGACAGAATAAGAATAGAATTGCCCCATAAGGTTCCCAAGACTGTCATTTTTATAGAAGCAGACTGCTATATACATCTTCCTCCCATGGAGCAGCTGGGAAGTTTGAACCATTGGCCTTTTAGTTAGTAGCCAAGTGCTTTAACTACTGCCAGCAGAGCGCCTTAGCCTTTACTTAGTAGGGACTTTATAAATGATAATCAAGTAAATGGATGCCTTTTATCCATAGGGTGGACAACTCCCTCCTGGAATCGCTATGTTCTCCTGCAACACCAGTACGTTTGCACAATCTACATTTCTTCTCACAGGCTTTCCAGGCCTGGAGGCATCTCATCACTGGGTGTCCATCCCCATCAACTTGATCTGTGTGGTTTCCATCCTGGGTAACAGTGTCATCCTCTTCCTGATCCGCACAGACTCAGCCTTACATGAACCCATGTACATCTTCCTGTCCATGTTGGCAGCATCTGATCTGGGCCTTTGTGCCTCTACCTTCCCTACCATGGTGCGACTCTTCTGGCTAGGTGCTCGTGAGCTACCTTTCAACCTTTGTGCAGCACAAATGTTCTTCATTCATGCTTTCACCTATGTGGAATCTGGTGTGCTGTTGGCAATGGCCTTTGATCGCATTGTTGCCATCCGGAACCCTCTGCACTATACCACAATCCTTACCAACTCAGCCATGGTCAAAGTAGGGGCTGCCATTCTAGTAAGAGCTGTCCTACTCAACCTCCCGGGACCCATTCTCCTCCGGCGTCTACTCTTTCCCCAGATCAGCATACTCTCACACTGCTACTGCTTGCACTGTGATCTTGTGGGGCTGGCCTGCTCAGACACCCAGGTCAACAGTCTGGTTGGATTGGTCTCCATCCTCTTTTCACTGGGCCTTGACTCTTCCCTTATCATGCTGTCCTATGCACTGATCTTACGAACTGTGCTGGGCATTGCATCACCTGGGGAACGGCTCAAGGCACTCAACACATGTGTCTCACACCTCTGCATTGTTCTCATCTTTTATTTGCCCAAATTGGGGTTGTCTGTGTTACACCGAGTAGAGAAGCACAGCTATCCTGCTCTAGCTGTGCTCATGGCCAACCTACACTTCTTGGTCCCACCCTTCATGAACCCCATTGTCTACTGCATCAAATCCAAACAGATCCGACAGGGTCTTCTAAAGCGCTTCCATCAGAAAAGGGTTGATATCACCTAGAACAGAAGGACCAGTGGAACCTTGGGGTTCATAGGTGAATAGGAGTAGTGGTGAAGAGTAATTTTTGAAATTTCTGAATGACTTTAACCTTGCTGTTGAGTGCTTTTTAGGACATTATCCGTCTGTGTAATTATCTCTAAGGAATCCTGGAGGCAAAGTGGTTAAGTACTTGGCTGATAACCAAAAGGTCAGCAGTGTGAACCATTGAACCATTAGCCACTGCATGGGAGAACGGTGCTACAATATGTTTCTGTAAAAATTATAGCTTTGGAAACCCTATAGGACAGCTCTGTTTTGCTGTATAGCATCTCAATTAGTTGAAATTGACTTGACAACAAAGCATTTGGCTTGTGAGTTTTGTAATTATAAATTTTGGAGACTGAAACTGTTGGAAATGATATCAAAATACCACTTGAATAATCCTCACATTGTTCTGTCTTACTAGAGCTAAACTATTTCAGACTCACATATACTGTGACCTCCCTTTACTCAGTGGACATAACCTTACTGAGAGGATGTGTGTGCATCACTTCTTTTCCCTATTTGATTGTGTTTGTTTTTTGCTTTCTCATTTGATTTTTAAGTCTAAGGGAGAGATGTGGCAAACTTCATTTATCTTTATACTGGTCCTCTCTCCCAAATTATTATCAACCAGCTCATACACCAAGAAGTAGAAAAGTAGGGTGTGAGGTGGGGAGTGGTGGGGAGAGATGCATACAACCCTGTAAATGTTCAATTTATCTAGTACTTAATTGCAGCTAAGGAGTGATAGTTTCCTCTTGGTTTTCTTTGTGTGTGTCTTTGCTGTGAGCTACTGATAAAGTTTGATCCTGCCAAGCCTAGTAAAGCTGTACCCCATAACTTTAGGATGTTGTTGTTGTTGTTAAGTGTTGTCAAGTTGGTTCTGACTCATAGTGACCCTATGTACAACAGAAGAAAACACCTCCCAGTCCTGTGCCATTCTTACAATTGTTGCTTCGCTTGAGCCCATTGTTGCTGTCACTGTGCCAATCCATCTCATTGAATGTCTCCCTCTTTTTTGCTGTTGCTCCCTCCACTTTACCAAGCATGTTGTCCTTCTTCAGGGACTGGTCCCTCCTGATAATACGTCTGAAGTGTGAGAGACAAAATCTAGCCATCTTTACTTCTAAGGAGCATTGGTTGTACTTCTTCCAACACAGATTTGTTTGTTCTTCTGGCAGTCCATGGTATCTTTAATATTCTTCTCTAACATCATAACTCAAATGCATCAGTTCTTCTGCAGTCTTCCTTATTTATTGTCCAACTTTCACATGCATATGTTGTTGTTGTTGTTAAGTGCCATTGACTTGATTCTGACCCACAGCAACCCTGTGTAGGATTTCCAAGGAGCAACTCATGAGCTTGAACCACTGATCTTGCAGTTCAGACGACTTTGCAGTTTCATGTATTAGCCCACAGTGCCACACCAGGACCCAGGACACGCATATGAGGCTATTGAAAATATCAGGTCTTGAGTTAGTCACTCTTGAGCCATCAAACTGATACATTTGCTCTTTAACACTTTAAAGAGGTCTTGTGCAGCAGATTTGCCTAAAGCAGTACGTCATTTGAGTTCCTGACTGCTGCTTCCATGAGTGTCGATGGTGGGTCCAAGAAAAAAATAACTTTTGGATAGCACTGACTTTTTAAGGGCCAGAGATAAGAGTGTAGATGCCACTTACCTCTGAATGGGAGAAGCATTTTCAATTAGAATGTAAGTTCCATGAGGGTAGGAATTCAGGAGCTGTTTTACTCACAGATGTATCCCAACCCTCCAAAATAGTATCTCCAATATAGTAGGTGTGCAATGCATAGTGTTGAATAAGTGAGTAAGGAAGATGATGGGACAAAAGTTTTTTTGACATCTGACCTGTAGGAAGGAAAATGATTGGGAGATGAATGTCTGAGATAACAACCATTTGATAGATTGAGCAGAAAGTAGTAAGGATGGATATCAGAAGCCTTGGGGCAAGGTATAATTCTTCCTTTGCCATATGGTCAAGTGGTTTTTAATATTAGAGCTCAAAAGGAAAATACGTTTATTGTGGAGCATTTTTTTAAAGTTACTTGCCAACTTCAGGAGACTTAGCTAGAAACTGAAGCCTGTCTCACTTTGTCACGAAAGGCTGTCTTACTTTATCACTAACCTTTCTCTCGGTATACTAAATCCTAAAAATGATCATGCAGTTTATAAAATTTGGGCTAGGAGTATTCCAGGTAGAAAACTACTACTGAAATTTAATAGAATGAGCTATGCTAGAGTTTTAAAAAAGTGCTTTGCCTGTATCTATGCACTTCCAGACAATAGGGGGTTCAACAATTGTGTGCATTTCTGTGTATCATTTCCATGAGCTTACGGAAGCGAGAATGAGGAACTTGGAGGCGAGAAGGCAAGAGGAAAAGGTGAGTCCTGCACATGTAGTTTTAACTAGAAAGGTTGTTTTTTCCTGTTAGATGGGAATCCATGGGCACTGAAACATACCTTCCAAGGAACCAGAACCCCATGCTTGCCAGTAAATAGGAGGCTGTTGCCAATATCGTGTATCTGAGGATGGCCAGATCATGCCCATAAAGACCAAGAAGCAGGCCTAATGAGATCCTGTGTTCAGAAACATATTTTTAGAATACCATGTCTAGTAATGGTTTCAGTAAATCCAAATTTTTTGGTTTAAGTAAATCTGAAAACTGTTTGACCAGACATTTTGGAAGATAAGGGGTTTTCAAAATATAGCTTTTGCTTTCCAAGAATTTCTCTCTTCAGGGTCAGGAAATTTGAGCTGAACAAACACCTATCATGTAGTCCCCTCTGTTTACCCACCAGCCCAATGCCAAGATGTTTCTGATCAGGGATCCTGACCATTACTGTGAGGGTCTCATCAGCCTTGATCAGAAATCCTAGGATGAGGAATTTGAAATCACAAGCAGATTTGGGAAGTCAAAAAGAAACAAGCAAACAAAAAACAAACAGAGAACATTGGATATATGTCCTAGGCCTGGGAAACCTCTTATCCAGAGAATGAACAGAATAAAGCTGGATAGTTATGTGTAGGGCTGTTAACTGCAAGGTCAGAAGTTCTAATTCAGCAGCCACTCCATGGGAGAAAAACTTAGACTTTATGCTCTTGTAAAGATTTACAGCCTTGGAAACTCTATGAGTTGGAACCAACTTGAGGGATCAATCACCATTAGATACCCATCTGAAGATTGCAGGGATCCTTTGGTGTCATCCTTCTTGCCTTTTCTCAGCAGTTCTGAGCTTGGGACCTTCTTCCTCCATGATACCCATCACAATAGTATAGCCATTCTTACTGCTGGCCATTCCACAGCTGTACTGAAGTCAAGCACTGGAAAGGGCCTGGAAATCTATAGCTCTACAAGTTTATCGTCAGTGTGCAAACATCTCAGCAAGTCCTGTTTTACTTTCCTTTGTTCCACAGGCCAAATAACTACTGAAGTAGCTAGCCTGGCATGAGGGGGCATCCTGAGATGACCTCTATAAAGCTTTGCTACTAGTTTATACTGCTAAGGGTTATCAGGGTGTGAAACACAATGACTTTTAGAATTTGGTGTTAGTAATTTAGAAAAAAAGTCTGTGTACATCAATTCAAAACCCCTGCTCTTAATCATGGAGTCCTGGTGTGGCAGTGTGGGCTAATGCGCTACACTGCAAAGTCGGTTTGATCCACAAGGCTGGAAGTTCAAGCTCACCAGCTGCTCCTCAGAAACCCTATAGAGGGTCGCTGTGAGTTGGAACTGACGCAACGACACTTAACAACAACAACAACCCTTAATCATTATGCTAACCAGCTTGTCCTCTACCCATGCAGAGTAAAAAATCTCAGCTCTGGCTCAATACCAGCTTTGTGGTCTTAGGTTAATTACTTCAATTCTCTAAACCTCCATTTTCTCATTATTATAGAGAGGGGCCAATACAAGGGGGCTTTAAAAATTTTATGGAAAAAAATTCGTTATCTTTTAGTTCCATTTCTTCACAAACTTTTTGAAGCCTCCTTGTACGTAACTCTTAGAAATGTAAGGATTCAACCAGATAATATATAGACAATATTTAATTCAATAGCAGGGTACCAGTTTTATGTATATTTGTTTGGTCATTTGATTAATGCCTATTCCCCCATTCATTTCAAGCTCAATGAAGGCAGGAACCACACCTGTATTTTCTAACCTTAACATTTAACATAAAGCCCAGAATATTGTGAGTCCTTTATGCATTAAATGAATGAGTAAATAAATGAAAGACAGGATTGGGGACAAATGGTAAATGCAATTAATGAATAATTTTATTGAATTCAATAGGTTCCCATTTGCTATAATTGATACTGTACTTATTATCATATAATTTGCATCAAAAAATGACAAGCACTAATTGACTTGTTGCAAATGTAGAATTTTTATTCAAAGCCTCACTATTCTATAAAATCCCTGGATTTAATAACACCAAACTTAGCTTCTCAAGGACTCTAGTTACCAAAAGACTTTAGGTCTTAAAGAGTGATTTAAATTTAGTCTAAAAGAGATCTACGTACGATATGTAATGCAACCACCAAGGTTTGTACTGGGGTAACTGGAGAGTATACTCTAACTGTGATACTATGAAAGCTAAGTGAGGTAGTTGGTGACTGGAGAATGGTTGGTTGACTAACCTCACACAGTTTAAGATCAAGTATAAAATTTTTGCTCACCCATATGCTATGTGTGGCTATTAGCAATCAAGGGATTGGGATGGGAGATTGTTGCAGAGGAGAAGTAGAAGCCTTATAGAAATCAGGTTGTAGGTTCCAATTCTTCAAAGCCAACTTTTCCCAAGTTGATTCATCTACACCATGCATGGATTGGTCATAGGGCAAATGGTTTCCTAATTGCCCTCTATAAAGCAGAGAGCTGTTTCTGTCTATTATAGAAGAAGAAAAGAAAGTCTACAAAGGTTGATCTAATGAACAGCTATTATGAATTCACTTAGA